GACATATGCAAAGTTAGTGTTTTTGTTAGTGCATTGAAGCAAGATATATGCTCGTTGCGATAGAGATGGATAAATACGAAAGCCTAGAGATCAGACGGAGATCCACGAGTCAGCCCTCTTACACCTCCCTGGCGGACTTTTCAGGATCCGCCTTCGCCGTCTATTAACGACCTTGTTTTTCCCGGCGAGTTCGTAAGCCTTGAGGATGTAATTAGCTCCTTCCCTGTGGACGAGCACAAATCGATTAGCTGATCAGGTGTTTAGGTCCTTTCAATTCTACCATGCTCCCGTTGTTTGTTGCTTCGGCTATGAAAACGAGCATCGTTCTCAGCACATTCAAGCACCTGAAGTGCCTGTTCATGTACTGTAGTTGCATAACCTGCTACAGTCCGAGAATATTGTTCGAGAAAAAGGTTCAATAAAGGACCCTGACAAAGTATGTGGTCTAATGTGATGTCTAATTACAGAATAATTATACATTTTGTTCATGGATGCATAGGTTAAATATGCTATAATAATTGTTTGATTAATGATATATGTTGAGCATTTTCTCCATTACTGCTCCTGTTATTTGCAGGAAGAGAAGTTACGTGGACGTCCAGACTATGAAACGTGTAAAAACAGGACGTTGAGTTGCAAAATCATTAAGTTGTTCAGTCATCAACTGAGTCATACTTGTCACATGTCATATGGCATCTAGGCGAACAGGATATCGTGGTTGATACGTGATTGGTTTTCTTTGCTCCTAGTTTCTCAAATGGAATATAAGAACAGGAAGATGAGAGAAGAACAAAAACAAAATGAAGTTTCTTAAATTGTTGATCTTAAAGTGGGCTGTGGCTATGTTTGTTTATGTAACATTATTCATTGAATTGATTCTTGTGTTAGTGTGAATTGTTATTGTTATTGGTACTGAGTAGTGAGTACCTTCAAGAACTCACAGATTTTGTAAGCAATTTGTGACAACAAACGACTATTTTAAACGTGATTTTGGGACACTTAAAGCCTCAACAAGCTCTAATATTTTGTTAAAAACAATCAGTTGTGTGCAGTGAGACATTGCTGGCGGACAGAACTATGATGTCTCTAGTTATTTAATTTTTCCTGCATTGAGTTGTGGCTATGTATAATACTATAATGTCATAAATTTTACCATCTACTTCATTGTGATTGCCTTGTACTATATAATATTATCTGGGTAGGATTATTCGACTTTGACGGTTGTTTTCTGCTATGAATTGTATAATAATAAGGTCCTTGAATAAGATTTCTTAATTTCTGCTTTGAGTTGTTTTCTGTATTGTGAAAAGATTGAGTTGTTTTCTACATTGTGAAAAAATAAGATTTCTTAATTTCTTGAATAATAATAAGGTCCTTCAAGTATGAAAATATATGATTTCTTAATTTCAAGGTGTTGGTTCATATAAACCCCAATTTCAATGAGAGAAGTACAAAACCAAAAAAA